TATATATATATATACATATATATACACACACACACACACACACACACTCATATAGATATAGTGAGAGATAGAGGGGGAGAGAGTAACTTAAGTTCAGTTATCCAGTCATATGTTACAAAGCACATGTCTGTTTATTTGGTCTGCACATGATTGAATAACTGAAGTGAATATTTGACACAATTGATTGTGTGAAAATTCTCAACCTCTTTAGTAAATGAGCCCTGTAGTCTATATATTTTTTATGATCATACTGAATTCTGTCACATTTGCACTCAATGCTGGTAATTGCAGAGATTGCTTGGATCTGTCACTTTATATGAATCTATGGAATAATAAACATGATGAACACCCAGGAGGATTTGAAGTAATACAGGGGAAAGAAGTAAATCATTTAAGTAAGGAATCCACAGCGTGTCTTGATCTCTGGCATTGTCCTGAAAGCCTCCTTGACGTGGGAACTGTTGCTGTGTTTTAACACCAGCTTATCCTGTCCTGTCCTGTGCAGCCCAGACTCTTACAAAGCAGAAATCTCGCCATTTTCTGCAATAATCCTAGGGGTCTTTATATTGGTGTGCCTGGGTGGTGGCGAAGATTTCACGAGGAATTAATGAAATGAAAGCATCTCTGTTAGTAAACACACACTGCCGGATCAACCTTTCACTTTGTGAATGTTCTATGACAATCCCTCTTAAAATACTGAGGCTGGTTTACTGAAGGAATCGAGACTGCTCACACAATAAATTGAGTTCATTTCAATTATATAATCATGTGCAGGGGAAATACGTAAAGAGGAATTAGTTTTTTTTTAGATGATTGGTTATTTGGTGCATATGCACACTATTAAAGTGAATATCCAAACAATTTATTATGTGAACATCCTCAACTCTTAGACAATCAGGCTCAATATGTCTATAGATATGTGCCTACTTCGCTCCAGCAATGCACTAAAAGCCAATCTAGCAAGTCAGGGTTTTTCTGGGTTAATAAAATGTTTCCAGATGAACATTTATGTTTTATTTTTATCGCGATCTGCTTGCGATTTGTGGTCATTAAAGCGCGAAATATTCGCTCTATGAAATCATCTTACTAAAATGGTCAGATTTTCCATTGCTAGCTCCCAGCCTTCCACCCCCATGCTCCTCTCAGGCCTTGAAGTTGGAGCTGTGCTCTGTCCTGGACTGACCAGGGAACAGGTTGTAAAGAAGGACCAGCAGCCCATGGCCAGGGAAAGAGATCATCTCAGTGCCCAGCTGGTTGAACTCATCCCACAGCGCCTTCATCTCCAGCTGGACGGTGATGTTGGCCACCTTGGGGTTCTTCTTGATCGGGGCTTTGCTGCTGTTGGAGCTGCTGCTGCCCGGGGTGGAGGAAGAGGAGCAGCTGGAAGACGAGGCTCCACTCTCTGGCTCCGGACACGCGTGGCTGGAACCCGGTCCGAAGCTGTATGAATGCTGCGCTGCGGAGCACGGCTCATAGTGGGCTTCGTGCTGGCTGTAAGGGTCGCCCGGCGATGGGGAGAGGTGGTAGCCTCCTGAAGCATTCAGGCTGCTTAAGCTGTTGGCTGTGAAAGCTGCAACATCGCAAAAGTGAGATAGCTGGGTGAGCCAGGGGCTGGAAATTGCTGAAATCATTCCAAAGAAAAAAAAAAAAAAAGAAAAGTGATCAGATAAAGTCAAAAAAACAATAGAGGGGGTGCTGAGTTCTTCTGGGGGGTATCCAAGCCGTGCTGAGGCTACCTGAGTCCAGTGTGGGAGATATGGGCTGCGAGGTGTATGGAGCTGGCTTGTCTTCCTGTACACAGGAGGATCTCCCTGATCTGCCAGCAGCTAAAGTCCCGGAGCTGCTTGGAATAAGAAGTATGGGGGCAGCATTCCTACATGGAGCAGCCAAGTGTTTGCAAGTAAATATCCCTGGTGTGTGGAGTGGGGCCCAAGCAAGCTCCTTGATGTGTGCTGTGGAAGAGCCCAGAGCTGCAGTGCTGTGTCTTATGTGGATCCTTGCTCAGACAGGCAGGGCCTCCCCTCCTGCAACAAAACCGGTTCCTATTTCTATTTAGATAAGCACACGGTGCTGGAGCATGCAGGTAATGTGCCTTTTCCTCGCCTGTGGGACCCTGATGGGATGATTGACACACAAGTGCCTCTTCTTAACAGAGCTTCCTCCTCATGACACCCACTTTTTTCAGTGCAGTTATATAAGGCGTTCCCCTTGGTACACCCCCTCCTCGCTCTCCCTTCTGCCCTCCCCTTCCTATTGTTTAAACAATAGACATACACACTTGTGTGGGGCTCCATCCACAACAAAACAAACAGGGCATTTTTCTTCAGCTAAAAAGCAAACAGCAGTCACCAATGAGGTGCCACCCCCCCCTCTCCACCCCCCTAATAGACTATGAAGGACAGGTCACTGAGCTGCGCCTCCCTGGCTATGTCATACTCATAGGTGACATTTTGCTGCTAATGACAATGATAAGCACATTGGGATGAGAAGGAAGCTGCAATGGTAGGTCTTTTAACCCAGACATATGACACATTGGGCACTTCTTGTTGTAGGGGGGCTGATCTGGTAGTGAATGGGTTACACTGTCTACTTCTTACACTGGTCGTGATTGGTGACATGTGTATGTAAAGTACATTGATCACAAGGGGGGTGACCAGGAGGAAACTAGGGGTCGCACATGTTTACTGCCTGGGATGAAATATTCTGAAATATGTACTGCCTGTGGCCCACTGAATTTTATTACAGAGGATACAGTGTTATAAACTGGAAGGTAGCACCTTATGTCTGTAATAAAATGACAATTGGTCTACTTGCTGCTTGCGATAAAAAAAAACACTTCTATATCATTTATAAGACTGGGTATGACATCATAACATAAAGATGGATTTCACAGACAGGCTATAATTTATATGGAATATTAGGGGGCTCCACATTGGCTTTACAATGTCCCACTCACATGCACACCTTGTCTCTGTATCGTACGTTGTGTTTTATTAGTTATGTGTTATACATCCCAGAATATATTTTCATAGTATTTATAGTAAATGTAAAACGTCTTGTAAATTTCAGATAAATAAATTCTGAATCCCTGTGCTGGAGGCAGCTGACAATATATGGACTGTTTAATGATGATTGGAATAATCTGACTGGTCATTAATACATCGCCATAGCCCGACCAGCACTGGGTGAGATAAGGACATTAAAGTGTTTCATTATTATTTATCGGTGTTCTTCCAGAGCTGCCAGGATATCACTGTGTTCTCTTCTGAAAATGTCCCTGTGCTGCCAGACACCGGGCACTGTCATACGGCTAACGAGATGCCAAGGAGACCCTACGATGATGACAGATAGGTGTTGGGTGACTAGTGACAGGGACACTGTAGGGTGTTGATGAGGACACTTACCCTCCATATCCCTGGTAACAGCACTGAAGTGCATTCTCATAGGGTGACACTGGAACCTGCAGAGCTTGTCCAGGGCAGCGCTTTGCTCCTCTGTGTTCACTTGTTCTGAAGCTGAAATCAGAGAGGCGATACTGAAAGCATTGGCTTTTGGGGTCAGAGGGTTGCTCAATTCCATAAGGCAGCAGAAATAGCAGCACCCCTAAACACTTTCCCCGGACCACACCATTCGAGGCAAAGGAAACTATCACTACAGAACAGGAACAAAAAAAAAATAACAATAATAAAAAATAAAAGCTACAGCAAAATAACTTTCACATGAGCTGCAACAAGTTTTGTCCTGCAAACTCCATTGTCTGTTTTCAGTGTGCAAATAGCGCGGCCCTAGGATTGCCTGGTGTATCAATGTGATTGGATTCGGTCTCCCCCAGCAGCCCTTATCTGTCCCCAGTCTCCCTCCTGAAGGCAGTAGCTGGGTGATGTCACCGGTTATCGTACAGCACTGTGTCAGTGCACCGAACTCCCGCCTCCTGGACTGCACGTTCTGCAGGATGGAAATAGAGTCCTGTCAATCAAGAGGACTGCAGAGGACACTGGACGTCATACTGGGGATGTCCGGAGCTCTCACCACCCTACACATACTACTTATTGATCATTTGTCTATCTATATGTATATAGAGGAATGGATTTCTCATTGCATGTGTTTATATCCCTATATATCTCGATTATGTACAGATGTGTATTTTGTGACTTTTAATTGAACTTTAACCTGTCCCTTTTTTCAACCCTTGCTAAATATATACAGAAAATCGCAAATATATCCATGACTAGATCCTCCCATATGTTCATACCTTAAATACATCTGAAAATATAAAGAGACATCATTAACCATATATATACATATATATTTTATAGATAGATAGATAGATAGATAGATAGATAGATAGATTAGCAGATCGTCGGATCTTCGTGCTCTGAAAATGAAAGGTCAGTGTTATTATAGGCAGAATCATTAATTTCTATGTAGTCCTTGCACAGGATGACCCTATGCACGTGCGTTGTACACAGCTCTCGGTAGGATTACACAGTTTATGGTGTTCCATGCACCCTCTGTGTACTCTATAATACTAATAGGGTTTTGGATGTGAAAACGAAATATCGTCTGTAATGTCCTGTCTGGGAGCACTGGGAGCAGGATGCTTTGTAGATGGATTTGATGGGGATATACAATGGGGCTGTGGATGAAATATCCAGATATTACTGTGGGAAAAGAGGCCTTTGTGCAGACACAGTGGCAGATCTTATTAACAGGGGATTAAAACTCTGCTGTATCCTCCTCACATTACCTGCTGAAACGGCCCTTTCACAAAGACTCTTCCACAAGTGATGCTCTCCTGGCTGATCTGGGGAAATGGCACAATAAAGAAATTCATTTTATTTCCTGTCTTGATAGGCACGATGTACAGGGGGAGGACTTGTCACACTGCACTATATGTAGCAGCCTGCAAGTATTTAATACAGGGGCTAGCAAGTCAGAGAACACTGCACTCTGCGAAGCAGCCAATCACATTCGTCCATTCACTTCTCCTGTACAAGTTGGAACGCGAAAACGGATTTGATTGGTTGTCAGGGGAAACACAAGAGTTCCTTTCACTTTCAGAAATGGGGCGGACTGTGCAATGCTATGTGTGTGCTGAGCCCAGCAGAAGAATGGACATCTTTGTGATGGATTAATAATATAGCAGAGCCCAGGGCAGACACCATTGAGACGCTAATATGTGATCCGCAGTCCTAATTAAAGTGTCATAGCCAGATATTCATATCACTCATTGGAAAAAAAAATGTTGTTGCTTCAGTGAGGTAGAAAGGAACCCATTGAGCAAAATGAAGAGGACCGGGGCTTGGCCATCTCTCCAAATTATCGAATTAGCAGAGCTGGGATAGGATTGATCGCTCGCTGACTAAATTAAATTTCCACATTAATAAGGCAGCAAAAGCGTGTAATAAGTTCTTATCAAACGCTGGGGGAAGGACACAGGACACAGGGGGAGAAAACAGAGATTGATTTCCACACGAGAAATATCACTCAGCAATCAGCCAGATCCATCCACACTCTGCGAGTCTGTGTAATAATATCGCTAATGTTACTCTGCATACTCGCTTGTATGCTGGAGATCTATATACATATATATATGTGTGTGTGTGTGTGTGTGTGTGTGTATATATAAGTAATGAGATCTTTATATCCCAGTTCTGCATGGATCGCCTGTCAGGAGAGTCACATAGCTGTGTCACTGGGGGACATTTCCACTAACCTTCACAGATATAGCCTGGCCCAATAAGACACCTCATTCCTCTACTCAATGTCTATTACATGTGTAGCATAGCACAGACGCCTGAGTTCAGCCAATGTTTACAGCATATTCCTCTCTGTTGGGATTGATTTACTAAATTAGTAGAAAATGTTGAATTAGTTTCATTAATCAATCAATTATCTAAGTATGTTAAACATTCGTGTTTATTGTCATCTATATATAATCGGATAATTGAAATTAATTTATTGTGTGAACATTCGAACATTCTCAACTATTTTAGTAAATCAGCCTTTTGCATCTATATATCTATATCTATATCTATATACATATATAGATATATAGATACACAGCAAGTGGCTGATTTGCTAAAGGAATTGAGAATGTTTTGCAGTGTATAATCGTCAACAAAACCGATTTTCATGCCTTCTTCCATGGCCAGGCCAGAAATAGCAGAGCCATTATTTAGAAACTATGTACCAATTTATTACTAGATGTACTTTGTTGATACCTTGCACATTGGAGCACACAGTTACTTTGTACTCTTAGCTGTAGTGAGGTAGCACAGTCAGCACTGAAACCTGCAGAGTAGCTGTTGGGAGGCTGATTTACTAAATGTGTTCTGAATCTTGACACAGTAGTTGTGTGACTATTCCCTTTAGTTACCCAATCACGTGAAAAGAAAATTCCTATTTACTTATTTAATCTGCACATGATTGAATAATTGAAGTGAGCATTCACATAATTTATTGGTGAACTCCATTAGTAAATCTGCCGAGCTGTGTGTGTGTCAGTGGGGAGATATACTGGTGCTTGTACCTGGTGAACTGGTTGTGTCAGTTGTATTTGTTCTCTGTTATGACACTTGTGATTTCCGAAGTCTGGAAAGTAGACAGACAAGCACGGGTAAGTTAACATTTACTAACAGGCTTTCTGCTTACTGCTCCTTGAAAACACGGGGGCAATTATCAGTGTACCTGAAATAAGGATTGTTTGTGCTGCCACTCATCGACCAATCAAATCCAGAGCTGCACTGGACAGTGACAAGGAGTGTTTGAATATCAGTGGTGGCTGTTTTCAAAGTAAACACACTGTTCCATGCCCGTATTGGCCTCAGGTTTTTTTTTTTTTACTCAAAATACCAGATATTGGACCTGAATTACATATAGGAGTCATTGTCATCATCGCTTGTGTTAAAAAAAAAAAACATATAGATCTCCCACACGCTATTGGGTATCTAATATGATATAATAGAAAATGGGATTTTTGTTTTCAAATAAATCAGCCCACAAATGTGCCAATCAACCTAAGCAGGGAGTTTAAGGTACAGATTCACCCCGCTGGAAAAAACGCCACCCGATGCAATATAACCGACCAGTATAGGCAGTGTACTGAGGAAAAAACCCTGGGGGCCCAGTGGATTCAGTGTGCAACCCTACCCTTACCCCAATACAGATTGTGTGACAGCCAATGTACAATCCCAACTACTACACAGTGAGACATTCTGTACACAAAGTACCACTTTATACACATCAAGAAGAATCCCAGCCATATTATTAATATACAAAACCATCTATATTATACACTTTAATGTGCAACCCCAACCATATACACTTTAAGGACAACCCCACCCTTATTATCAGTTTACAAAACCAGCTAAACACTTTAATGTACAACCCTAACCATCGTATATACTTAAAGGACAACCCCACCCTTATCAGTTTACAAAAGCAGCTATACTATACACTGTAAAACCCTAGCCATATTATAATGTACAAACCTAGCCATACCACTTAATGGACAACTCCAACCATATAATACACTTGTACAAACCCGGCCACATTATTCATCAAATGCACAAACCCAACCATATTATTCACTTGAGTACAAACCAAGCAATATAATACCCTTAAGAGGCAAACCCAGCCATATTATAATGTACAAAACCAACTTAGTTATACACTCTAATTTACAAACCCAATCATAATGTATGCTACTGTACAAACCCAGTCATAGAATGCATTTATTACGTACAAACCAAAATATATTATTAACGGAATGTACAAATATGTACAACTCCAGCCACATACACCCCAGCCATATGATGCACTTAATAGACAAGCCCAGTCAGCCCCAAACACACATCCAAACCTATCTGAACAGCAATGACTGCAGACAACGATTCCCTGCAATTCAGCAAACAGCAAGATGGGTAAACCCACAATTTTGCGAAGTAATGAAGAACAAAACAACAACAACACAATATGATGATGATGGTGATGGTGATGACGATGATTTAGGATGTACATAGCCAACGGTTTTTACAGTGTCTTACAAAATAAATAGACTGTACAGTTACAATGCAATCTAATAAAGGAAAGTTAGAAGGGCCCAGCTCCTTAGAGCTTACAATCTAAATAATAATAATAATAATAAAAATATACTGCTACTGCTAGTGAATGGTATTGCATTGTTGAAGTTATTGATATTATTATTCTTATTATTATTACTATTATTATCACCATCATTATGAGTATTATTACAATTTTGATGTTATGAGATGCTGGAATCTAGATGGCTCGATGTGTAGCTCTTGGCAGGCGCTACCTGGCTGACATACGTAGCTCATCACTCAGACCCCTATTGCTTCTCTGACTGAAATAAAGTCAGGAAAATTTCCCGGTTCTTCCTATCCTACATCATCATGTACATCCTTTTCTCACAACAGACAGCGGTCCATTCCCCCGGCTGTAAAGGGGTTAAAGGGCACTTCATTTATCACTCTTAGACACGTCAACACCCAGCTCTGTGCCTTTTGTTATTTTTTCCTGTTGCTTTTATACTGAAATGACCAACCATTGCAG